AAAATTCTTTATCAAAATTTGAAATAGAAAGTGTTTCAAATAATTCATCCCGTTGTTTATCAATAATTTTATCCTCTAATCCTTGCTTCTTGATTGTATTATATAATTCTTTATACATTAAAAAGTTTTTTAAATAATCTTCTGCTTCTTCTTGTGATAAATAAATAATTGGAATTTTGATTAAATGCTTTAAAGATTCAAATGTATCATCTGAAGGTGAACCTGAACGGTTGATATAAATTAACACATGTGAATAGGGGGAAGTGTTAGCAATAATGATAATTTGTTTTAATATCGTTAATGTTTTACCTTTATTTTGTTTACCAATTGCTGCAGTGATTGAATTTAAGTAACATTCAGAATATGGAATTTTCATTAATTTTTCCTTAGATAGAGCATTTCTATTATCACTCAATGCTTCATTAATCATATCATCTACGTATGTATTATATACTCCCGCTAATTCTTCATAAGGGGTGGATGAATTTAAATCCATTTAATCAAAAATAAATTTATAATTTTAAACATTTCTATTCATCAATATTTCATCATATGAACTTCTATACTGTGATGGTGTACCTGTTGGATGATATTTCAAACCTTCATCCGGTGTCCATGTCCAATATGTTGTCCTAGTAAACCAAACCTGAGGAGGATTTGTCACCTTTGAACAGTAAGTGTCATTTTCACCCTGAATGATTGGATAAGCTTTCACTTGTACTGTAACTTGTGAGTTGAAAGTTTCTAATCCATCAAAGAATATACCCGCTCCATTACGTTGAACTGGAATAGTGCATAAGAATGAAGTTTGGTCTTTCCATGTTCTAGCTAATGGCGTGCCATCATCTGCATTCAGTGGTCTAGTTAATGAGTCCTCGTATTCTTCTGTGCATTCATTCACTCCATCTAAATCAGAAGCTTGAAGCATACGTGTAAAGAATATGTCACCCACTGTGGTCATCGCTTGATCGGGGAAGTTTCTGGAATCTATAGTGACCTGAAGACCTCGAAGCATTGGATTTTCTAAAACTGTTCTTTGCATTGCATTCTTTGGAAATGTTAACACAACATCTGTAACATTATGAAGAGCGTATGAGAAATCTGAGCTAATACCTTCAGGAGTGATGCAACCTCCATTTAGTGAACGAACGTCAATATGTTGAGCTGGAATCATGAATGGATCTTCCTTACTGAATAAACGTGGTATTGCTTTAACTGATTCTTCAATTAAACCGTATCCTGGTGTAATACATTTATCCTCTAAAACTTCCATCTTTGTGCATGAAATAATAACGTCATCAACTGTTGCGTCAGCAGATGTAGCGGCTAAGCTTGTAATTAATTTGGTAGGAAGTCCGATTTGTTGGAATTTGCGATCATATTTATAAACATGATTCATAATCTTTTCATAATTTTCATCAGTTATCTTTTCATAAACGTAATTTTGTAAATCAGCAACTCTTAACGGGTCAACCTGACAAAATACTAAAGTATCCCTGAAAACATAATATTTAAAATGATATCACCAAATGATTTAGGATAATCATCGAACGCCTGAAATGCTAACAAATCATTTACCGGAATAATCATATCAAAAGTGATATCAACTTCTTCATTTGCTTTCTTGAAAACTTCTGAAGGGTCAATATATTTTCCACATACTGAGTTATCATATTTTTGAACATTATTATATAACGAATGAACAAACTTTTTAACTTTCCTTTCTGATTTCGGTTTATATGTTGCAAATGCGAAAGATTCACGGGCGCAATCCATCTGAAGATAACCAGCATCACCTCTTTCGGTTTCTACTTCTAATTGTTTAAAGCTTTGATTTGATGATTTGTAACCAACGAATAAACGCATACATTTAAAAGCGGCATCACATGTGAAAGCTTTATTTGAAACTAGAGTTGCTTTAACTTTGCGTTTAATATATGTGTCACCTAATTGGTTCACATCATGAGCTGGATTTGTAATTCTTAAATGAGTTTGTTTATCATCAAAATATGGAGTATCAGAGTCATAGCATGAACTTTCAAGTTCTCTATAATATCTTCTACCGTCATTCTTTGCAAATATTTCATTTATCTTTTCGAATGAATGAAACACATTTCCATTAATCGGTTTGGTGTTTGGCACCAATATAGTTAGTCGTCATTTATTAATAAATAAAAAATCAAAATTAAAATATGAAAATGAATTTTTAATTTTAATGAAATAATCAACTATGGCTGCAGGATTCTTTAAAAAATTATGGGATAAAGTAAAAAGAGGAGCGAGTAAAGTTTGGGAAACAATGAAGAAAGGAGCAAATTGGATATTTAAGAATAAAGAAGCAATTAGTGACGTTGCTGAATCAATAACACCAAAAGCTGCCCCAATAAGAGAAATAAATAAAGGAGAAAAAGTTTATCAAAGACTCAACCGATACTAAGATAAAAATAATATTTATTTATTTTTCCACTATCTACCTCCTATTTTATTAAGTATTCCTTCAGCAATTCCACCAATTGCGTTACCTGCTTGTGCTCCCATCGCCGGATTACCTGCTTTAGTACCTAATACTCCACCTATGATAGTTCCTGCCGTTTTCGCTACTGGTGCCAAAAAGTTTGCAATGGGTTTAATAATCTTTTGATGAACCCAACCCGCAGCTTTCTTAATTCCATCCCATAATTTTTTAAAGAATCCTGCAGCCATTTCTGATTTAATATTAATTAAAAAATATATTTCATCACTTATATTCTAATTTTTATTTAATGATAAATGAAACCAATTTTAAAAAATAAATGAAAGTGAAAATGTTCAACAAAAAATAAACGTTGTTAAACCAATTACTGAAATAAAAAATTTTTCATCTGTTGAAGAATTTAATGACTATTATGCCAATAATAAAAAATTATTTGAAGAATTGACAACATGTAAATTGAATAAAATGTTTAAAGTTGATGGATTCAAAATTTCAAAAATAAAAGGAGTGGTTAGTTTGAAATCTATTCCTCAATCAAGAATCACCTCATTAATGAAAATAGATGATTTAACAAAAAGAATAGAAATTATTGAAGAGCGAATAAATCAAATTATTGATATCATAAATTCAAATAATCATTAGTTTCTAATTTCTTTTTCTCATTTATGAGGTCTTTGATTATGACATCATTGATTCCATTCATGATTTAAACAATTCTATAATATTGCTTCCCTTTAAATCTTTGAATATAAATGATAACACCATCCTCTAAAATTCGATAATCTATTTTATCTGGTTTTACTTGTTGGGTCATTTATGTAAGAATAAATAAATAAATTATTTTAAAATTAATATGTTAAAATAATGATACAAAATCGTTCAATATTGTATGAATTCCACCATATTTGGAATCTATGCAAAAAATAGAATCTTTCTACCGATTTAGAATTTAAATATCCCCATAAGTTATATATTAATTTAATAAATTATATTATCATTTATAATAAAATTTTTCGAAATGCAGATAAATTTTAACATGTTCGAAATGAAACTATTATAAAATATATTCTTTTTATTAATGGTAATATAGGAATTGTAGGAATAAAAACTTTTTATAAATTATTCATAAATTTTTAAAATCGGTTTCATACAAAATAAAAATAAATTTTCATAAATGTAAGACATGAATTTTTAAAGTTTATTTTTTTTATTTCATTATGTTTGGGCTGAGTGTAAATGTCTTACAATTTTGAAAATTTTTTAAATCTTGATTTATTCAAAAACGTAAGAATAAAAACCGTAAGAATCATACATTTTTTACTTCATATGTTAAAATAAATGATACAAAATCGTTCTATATTGTATGAATTCTTACGTTTACAAAAAAAGTCACACAACCCGTCCATATATACTACTTTTATCATTGTTTTATTGGATTATCTTTCTTTTCATATTTATCATTGTTTTATGGCACTCTCTTTCATTTCATATTTATCATTGTTTTATGGCACTCTCTTTCATTTCATATTTATCATTGTTTTTATTGGATTCTCTTTATATTTATATTTGTCAATGTTTTATGAAATTATTTCGATATTAATCATTGCCCTCTTACTATTGCAATCAAAGGGAATTCAATAGAAATTGTCCAATTCCTAGTTGATCATGGTGCAGATGTTAACATGAAACTTATTCACGTTCTTTTCATATTTATCATTGTTTTATGAAATTCTCTTTCTTTTCATATCTATCATTGTTTGATGGCTTTCTTTTTCTTTTCATATTTATCATTGGTTTATGAAATTCTTTCGATATTAATAGATGCCCTCTTAGTATTGCCATTATAAATAAAGCAACAAATATTATCAATTTCTTAGTTGAACATGGTGCCACAGAAGTATTTCCACCCAAAAAAGATACGATTTCTAATTTATCGGATACAGTCAAAGAAAAACCAGATTTAGGATCTCTGTTCATTTTCTAAACTATTCAAAAATCTGACATACTCAAAAATGTTACTAAGAATATAATAAATATTCATTATTACAAAATTCAGCCCTTTTTATTTCAGAACTAGTTTACGTTATAATTCAAAAAAAAAACTCTAGTATTAAGGTTATTATATTGAGAATTAGAATCTGGATATACCTTATTAGAACTCGAATGTATGGTATATGCAAATTTTTATTCTTAGCTTCAATGTCCAAACCGTATTTTAAGTGTTCGCCACGATGTTTTAGAAGTCTCCCTTTCCACTTCGTTGCCGGTTTCTTTCTTCATGATTCCTTCTCCCCTTACAGTCCTCAATTCATATCCTTCGCGTCGATTCCCCTCAATCGTTTCAATTTTTCTGTATCGGGCGCGTTACAAAATGAACAAAAAATAAGTGCAGAAGTGAAGTGCTAATAATTTTTTGTTCCGCATATGGTTTTTGCGCAAATAATGCACCCTTAATACCAAATCGTAATTCAGAGAAAAAAGGATATCGTAATGACATATGATATGAAATTTTATAAATTCTCAATAAATGAACTTCAAGAAAGGTTTTCGCAGCTTAGTCATGATTACTTTCTTCTTTATAACAGGTGCTTTCTTCCCTGTTTTAAATAAAATCATTTTAAAAGCTGAATTCACTTACAAATATGGTTTTACATTAGGTTTTAACAAACCATGGTTCCAAGTCTTCGCTCTTAACTTTGGTATGATATTTTACGGCATTCCGTTTCTTGTTCATTTCTTTAAACGCAAATGTAATAAAAATGTTGCAATGCCGAAATTATTTTCTTGGGAAATATTCAGAAGATGCGGATTACCATCTATTCTTTACATTGTAGCATCTGTGCTTCAAACTTATTCATTATTAACTATGCCAGTTTCAGTATGGCAAATCTTTCATAGTTTTCAAGTTCTTTTTACAACCCTTTTCGCCGTAACCGTTCTTAAACAGCGTCTATTCTTGGTTGACTGGCTCGGCGTCTTCATGAACGTTTTTGGTCTTAGTTTTTCAGGAGTTGCCGTATTATTACGTGGTATTAGTAAGCAGAATGAAAAAATCTCCGAGCAATTCATTATGATGATCCTCGCTATTATTTCTCATGGTATCAAATCCTACCAAACTGTTATGGAAGAAAAAATTCTCAAAGAAACAAAAATTTCATCTTCGAATCTTACGGCGTACGAAGGTTTGTGGGGCCTATTTACCTTAGTTTTCATCTGTTGGCCGATAATTATGATTCTTCCTCCCAATTCCAGATTATCAGAAAATATTCCAGAAGCGTTCATCCAATTTTACTATTCCACCCCTCTTACATGGCTTTTCTTCTTCTACATCATCATCGTCGTGCTCTTTACATACGCAGGTAACCTTATTACGCAATATAACACAGCTATCAGAAGAAACATGTACGAAACCATCCGTCCACTATTTGTATGGTGTCTTTCAGTTGCTGCCACCAAGACTTTGAAGAAATACCAATTAAATTTGAATGAAGATCTTGATAACTTTACTTTCATCGAATTGACAGGTTTCTTGATATCCATTGTTGGTTCTCTTATCTATAACCGTGTTTGGAGATTCGGTTGCTTCATTTACGCTGAACAAGAAGCCGAATTACTTGAATCCAACGAAATTTCTCAGTCATTGATTAATATGAGTGGAGATGTATCACCACCACCAGTTCCTATTCATTAGAACCAAATGATGCCCTGATCTTACGGATTATATTTTTATTAATTTTATATGTTATGTAAAAATAATAGATTTTATTATTTTCTTATTTCTTTCATTTATTTTATCAAAAGTATCTGATATCTCTCTATTAAATCTCTGATCTTTACTTTTGAATAATTCTCTTTTTGAAATATCTAATAATGCTTATATATTTATGATGCGGTTTATGGCATATAAATGATGGAGTTTCATATTTCACTATATACAGAATATTTTTAATAAATTTGCCGGATTCAAAATACATTTATTGTTTCAAAGTTTTATTGTATGGACTAGATATAAATAGAGAAATATGGTATTTCAATGGATTGAAACATTATAGTTTCAATGACTCAACTCTCCTCAGAAGATTATATAAAGTTGAAACTCAAAAGAAATTACAATTAATGGAAGAAATTAAATCTCAGAATATTTAATATAAAGCATATGATTTATAGTTGATACTTCATTTCTAGTTTGGCATTTTGTATTGAGCAAAAGCAAGATAATATCCAATATATCTTTTATTTATTATCTATAAAAGCCTCATAATTCTGGTTGTTCTTCTTCTAGAGGATCTTGAAGGTTTTTGTTTTGACTCATCTTTTTAAATATGAAAGCCAACACAATAGCTATCAATGAAAGAGCAACAACTGTCACAACTACACCTATGATAATATTCCTTTTCTTTCTTTCTTTCAAGAGCTACTTGATCTAAATAATCTGGTTCTGTCTCATTTGTTGGCTGGTTTTTATCATGGTTATCTGAAAATGAACTGGACTCAGAAGATGACACTGATGCAGATGATGAAGAAGAAATTATTTCTTCATATATTTCACATGATTCTATTTCATTAGTTGTTGGTAATCCTCCAATTATATTTCCTTCAACTTCACTTGATTTATATATCTTTTCTGCAGAAACAGCATTTTTAAGGAAATTATCGCCAAGATTGTTATTGGCACAATAAGAAAACGTCTTTATGGTAATTCCAGTAAGTGCATCATCAGTTATTTTATTAATTTTACAAGAAATTATTAAATTGAGAGGAGTAATATATGATGTGGGGTGTGTGACTTTTTTTGTAATCGTAAGAATTCTCACATAATTGAATGATTTTTGAACATACTTCCGAATAGCAGATTTTAAAAATTTATGAATAATTTATAAAAAGTTTTTATTCCTACAATTCCTATATTACCATTAATAAAAGAATATATTTTATAAATTTTATTATAAATAATATAATTTATTAAATTAATATATAACTTATGAATTTTTAATTTTAATGAAATAAAATTTAGTATTAATAAAGTTATAAAATAAATTGGTGCATGTTAGATGTAAATAAGATATAAAAAGGTGTTTATGAATACTTTAGCAGAAGTTGCATTGAATAATGAAATATTTGATGAATATAACCTTGAACTCAGTGATGGGCTTTAAGGACCCGGGCTCAACGAGTCATGATTTATGAAATCAATAATTTGATTTATTCGCTCTTCAATAATTTCTATTCTTTTTGTTAAATCATCTATTTTCATTAATGAGGTGATTCTTGATTGAGGAATAGATTTCAAACTAACCACTCCTTTTATTTTTGAAATTTTGAATCCATCAACTTTAAACATTTTATTCAATTTACATGTTGTCAATTCTTCAAATAATTTTTTATTATTGGCATAATAGTCATTAAATTCTTCAACAGATGAAAAATTTTTTATTTCAGTAATTGGTTTAACAACGTTTATTTTTTGTTGAACATTTTCACTTTCATTTATTTCTTCCTCCTCTGTTTCATTTATTTTTAACATCGGTTTCATTTATCATTAAATAAAAATTAGAATATAAGTGATGAAATATATTTTTAATTTTAATGAAATAATCAGAAATGGCTGCAGGATTCTTTAAAAAATTATGGGATGGAATTAAGAAAGCTGCGGGTTGGGTTCATCAAAAGATTATTAAACCCATTGCAAACTTTTTGGCACCAGTAGCGAAAACGGCAGGAACTATCATAGGTGGAGTATTAGGTACTAAAGCAGGTAATCCGGCAATGGGAGCACAAGCAGGTAACGCAGTTGGTGGAATTGCTGAAGGAATACTTAATAAAATAGGGGGTAGATAGTGGAAAAATAAATAAATATTATTTTTATCTTAGTATCGGTTGAAGTCTTTGATAAACTTTTTCTCCTTTATTTAATATTTCTCTTATTGGGGCGGCTTTTGGTGTTATTGATTCAGCAACGTCACTAATTGCTTCTTTATTCTTAAATATCCAATTTGCTCCTTTCTTCATTGTTTCCCAAACTTTACTCGCTCCTCTTTTTACTTTATCCCATAATTTTTTAAAGAATCCTGCAGCCATAGTTGATTATTTCATTAAAATTAAAAATTCATTTTCATATTTTAATTTTGATTTTTTATTTAATAATAAATGACGACTAACTATTTGGTGCCAAACACTAAACCGATTAATGGAAATGTGTTTCATTCATTCGAAAAGATAAATGAAATATTTGCAAAGAATGACGGTAGAAGATATTATAGAGAACTTGAAAGTTCATGCTATGACTCTGATACTCCATATTTTGATGATAAACAAACTCATTTAAGAATTACAAATCCAGCTCATGATGTGAACCAATTAGGTGACACATATATTAAACGCAAAGTTAAAGCAACTCTAGTTTCAAATAAAGCTTTCACATGTGATGCCGCTTTTAAATGTATGCGTTTATTCGTTGGTTACAAATCATCAAATCAAAGCTTTAAACAATTAGAAGTAGAAACCGAAAGAGGTGATGCTGGTTATCTTCAGATGGATTGCGCCCGTGAATCTTTCGCATTTGCAACATATAAACCGAAATCAGAAAGGAAAGTTAAAAAGTTTGTTCATTCGTTATATAATAATGTTCAAAAATATGATAACTCAGTATGTGGAAAATATATTGACCCTTCAGAAGTTTTCAAGAAAGCAAATGAAGAAGTTGATATCACTTTTGATATGATTATTCCGGTAAATGATTTGTTAGCATTTCAGGCGTTCGATGATTATCCTAAATCATTTGGTGATATCATTCTTAAATATTATGTTTTCAGGGATACTTTAGTATTTTGTCAGGTTGACCCGTTAAGAGTTGCTGATTTACAAAATTACGTTTATGAAAAGATAACTGATGAAAATTATGAAAAGATTATGAATCATGTTTATAAATATGATCGCAAATTCCAACAAATCGGACTTCCTACCAAATTAATTACAAGCTTAGCCGCTACATCTGCTGACGCAACAGTTGATGACGTTATTATTTCATGCACAAAGATGGAAGTTTTAGAGGATAAATGTATTACACCAGGATACGGTTTAATTGAAGAATCAGTTAAAGCAATACCACGTTTATTCAGTAAGGAAGATCCATTCATGATTCCAGCTCAACATATTGACGTTCGTTCACTAAATGGAGGTTGCATCACTCCTGAAGGTATTAGCTCAGATTTCTCATACGCTCTTCATAATGTTACAGATGTTGTGTTAACATTTCCAAAGAATGCAATGCAAAGAACAGTTTTAGAAAATCCAATGCTTCGAGGTCTTCAGGTCACTATAGATTCCAGAAACTTCCCCGATCAAGCGATGACCACAGTGGGTGACATTTCTTTACACGTATGCTTCAAGCTTCTGATTTAGATGGAGTGAATGAATGCACAGAGAATACGAGGACTCATTAACTAGACCACTGAATGCAGATGATGGCACGCCATTAGCTAGAACATGGAAAGACCAAACTTCATTCTTATGCACTATTCCAGTTCAACGTAATGGAGCGGGTATATTCTTTGATGGATTAGAAACTTTCAACTCACAAGTTACAGTACAAGTGAAAGCTTATCCAATCATTCAGGGTGAAAATGACACTTACCGTTCAAAGGTGACAAATCCTCCTCAGGTTTGGTTTACTAGGACAACATATTGGACATGGACACCGGATGAAGGTTTGAAATATCATCCAACAGGTACACCACCACAGTATAGAAGTTCATATGATGAAATATTGATGAATAGAAATATTTAAAATTATAAATTTATTTTTGATTAAATGGATTTAAATTCATCCACCCCTTATGAAGAATTAGCGGGAGTATATAATACATACGTAGATGATATGATTAATGAAGCATTGAGTGATAATAGAAATGCTTTATCTAAGGAAAAATTAATGAAATTCCATATTCTGAATGTTACTTAAATTCAATCACTGCAGCAATTGGTAACAAAATAAAGGTAAAACATTAACGATATTAAAACAAATTATCATTATTGCTAACACTTCCCCCTATTCACATGTGTTAATTTATATCAACCGTTCAGGTTCACCTTCAGATGATACATTTGAATCTTTAAAGCATTTAATCAAAATTCCAATTATTTATTTATCACAAGAAGAAGCAGAAGATTATTCAAAAAACTTTTTAATGTATAAAGAATTATATAATACAATCAAGAAGCAAGGATTAGAGGATAAAATTATTGATAAACAACGGGATGAATTATTTGAAACACTTTCTATTTCAAATTTTGATAGAGAATTTTTGCATTCACTAATTTTTCTAGATGATGCCGTGAAATCAAAACTAATAACTAATGAGAAATCATATTTTAATCAATTATTAACTCAATGCCGACATATTCAATGTTCATTCTTTATGGCTGTTCAATACTTTAAAGCATTAAGCACAAACATTAAATCAAACCTGTCCACCCTTTTCATTTTCAGTGGTTTTAGTCGTCAACAGTTGAACGTTATGCTTTATCAAGTGAATTTACCAATGAGCATTAATGAACTTTACACACAATATCAACAATTAGGAGAACATGGAAAAATAATAGTTGATTTAAATAAAGGAAGTGTTAAATTTGATTAACTTTTTATAATTAATTTTTATTTTTTATTTATAATTAAACATGACAGAAATTGCA